TTCCAGGAAATAGCAGGGCTATTCTATCAGCTTGATTGGCAAATAAGACAGTATCATTATCACCACCATCATTGTCATCATCGAAAAAAGCAAATAATAATTTTTGCATACTACTGCCAAAAGAGACATCATACCCATTTCCATGTAATTACCAACAGTCAAACTTCATTTGGGACATTCATTTTTTTAAAAAAAGATATATATTCATATGTTAATTCATACTTAACACCAAATGTTAACTATGGTGAATGTAAAGTGGGTTGTCCCCTTACCTTGATAATGGGATTAGGTACATTTGTATGTACCTAATGTGTATGAACTTGATGAGGAGAGATATCAATTAAAATATTTACTAAAATAAAGAGTGACAAAAAGTCTAATCCTTAATCCCTAATCCAAATTATTTGGTTGTTTTAAGTAATGTTTATAGGTTCAGGATGGAAACCAGGAGACCATGAGTTCTAATTCTATCTTAGACATGAAGTCACTTTGGCCCAGTTCTCTCTCTCTCTCTGCCTGTCAGCCTTAAGAAGGAGGCAATGACAGGCAATTTCTTAAATCTTGTCTAGAAAACTGCAACAACATGTTCAGGCAGCCACCTGGAGTCTACACTGACTCAAAGGCACTAAACAACAATGATAAAAATAATGTCAATTGCAAAAGGCAGCTTAGCTGGAACAGCTTACATCCTGTGACAATATTTGTAACACCGTCAAACATCCACATCTGTCTATACTAGTCAATAAATGGGGAAAAAATGACAAATCCAGTCTGAACATCTGGCTAACTGTGCAATGAACCAAAGTTATAAGTTACAGTAGAGAAGAACTGGGTATCAGTTAGAAAACCCAAAGCAAAAACATCTTCAGTTCCAAAGTGGAAATTAAGACTACATGCCAAGATAAAGAAATTAAAATCAGGTGTGAATAATGAAGAACATGAAAGAGTAAAAATTAAAGAATGTAAGAATCAAGACAAGAGTAATAAAAATATTGGCTTAGCACCTGAAAAATTGAAGAAGGTTTGGGAAGCAACAAATCACAGCAATAGCTGGGAAAATTTAATGCTTTGAGACATTGATCATCCATTTTAATCAAAATCATTTATTTCAATCAGATAAGAGAAATTCTGAAAAAGGAAAAACCAAACAAAAAAAATAAGTTTTTGAAAGATCTATGAAAAACTCAAAATAATGAATGGATAAAAGATTTTAAAGAAGAATTTAGTAAAAATAAAATGGAAGAGCTAATAATAGCTGAAATTAATAAAAATTGAATGAGAAGAATTAAAAACAGGACATGCCCTAAAATTTATCAATTATATGGCTTTTGGCTCAAATATTTGACTAGTTTACATCTAATTATACCTAAACAACTTAAGGAAGTAATGCATAAAGTTTATATCAATGACTGATTAATTGGCAAAACTTATCTTACTGAAAGGCCCATCAAAACTATAGATTGATAAAATGCTTGCCTACAATGCTTAAGATGCTCACAAGCACATACCATCAAATCTACCAATACCTGGACCATAGTTGTGATATGTATACTGCTTGAATTATTAATTGGACACACACTTTAATATTACTATAGGGTCATAGTGCATAGTTGCCTTACAGAAATAGAGGCAGTTTACTTTAAAACAAATATACTGTTAAAGAAGAAAAGCATGCAAATGTATTAGTTTTGGGAAGAAACATATCTAGATTTAGAAAATAATGAGCCAAGACTTAGATCCTGAGAGCTTTAAGTTTAAAACATGAGTTCTCTACCACTGCTGAACTGAAAGCAATTGAAAAACAAGCAACTCAAATTTCAGGTTTATTCAGAATTACCAGTAATAATACCAGGGTCCTGAGTGAGCACAAACAGTAGAAATTGAAGAGAGAATTTCTGTTAATGAAGAACAATAAGGAGAGGAAACTAAAGTTGCTAAAGACTTGCAAGCATTATTGCTTAATCAAAAACTAGCTGGGAAAATCAAGAACTAAATGGAGGGAGCTGAAGGAATACATTGGCTGAATTGAAGTAACAAAAAATCTTTGGCTAAAACTTTGAAGAACATTAATGAAGTTGTTAAAATGATTTTAATTGCAACATTGGCCCAAACAAGCCAGCCTGTGTAACCACTGAAAAACATGCTTTAAAATACTATGGGATTAAGTAATTAAGAAAAAAAAATCTGAATGGAAAATGTTGTTGTAATTGAAGATAAAGAAAGTTGGAATAGATTTGAGGAATTTGAGATATGAAAACTTTAAAAATAACAAAATCAAAACTAGTCTTTCTGTGTCTAGCATAACCTGAAGATTAAAGAAATTGCAGAGGCTATAGAACAATTAAAATAAAGAGTAGTGAAATTTAGAACAAATCAATTCTACAAATCCCTTGAAAGTGAAAAAGAACTGACCATAAATAATGAAACCTTGTCAAAGAAGAGATCTTAAAATTTTGTAGACGTTTGTGGGAAAACAACAGAAATAATAATAAAAAAGGAATACCACATGGATTAAGCAAAGTCAAAAATGCTGTGAAAGTACTTAGTATGGAAGATATTAGAATAACTAAGGACATGGTACAAAAGCAATCAGAGAAAATTTAAGTTTCCTGGACCAAATATGATCTATGTATTTTCATTAAAATAACTGACAAATATACACTTGAGGTTGGCAGATCAAATAAATAAGGTTTTGGAAACGAAACCTTATTTATAATGAAGCCCTAAATGAAAAATGGCTAAGAACTGGAAGGATATGTCTAACTCAGATAATTTATAGTCTCATTTCCTTTCTTCTTCACCTGAATTGGGAATGTCTTTCCAGTTATTTGCCAGTAAAATATGAACTACTTCTGAGTATAATTGCAAATCAAATTTAGTGTTATTTGAAAAGAACAAAAAGAGTACTATAAAAAATTAAGAGGAATGAAGTGTCAGTTGTTGATTAACAAACTTATTTTTTTAAAAATTGAAAAAAAGAACATATATGTTTATAGCTTGGTTAGAGTATAAAAAGGCATTTTATTCTGTTTCACATAACTGGAATGGGAAATGTTTCAACATTTTTTGAAACAGCAGAAACATCAGGCAATTTATGAATACTTCAATGAAGTTTTAGTGAACAAACATAATGGCTACTAGTGAAGGAAAAGTTGAAATAAAACATGGAATTTTCCAAGATGATTCGTTATTATCTTTAATCTTTATATTATCAATGATCCCACTGACAATAATTTTGAACCAGACAAACCATAGATATGAATTGGCCAAATAAGGATGAACATTTCACATTTACTCTTTATGGATGATTTAAAATCATTTGAAAAAATAAAGGCTGAACTTGCTTCCTTATTAAAAAAACACAAAAGACTTCAGGTGAAACACATTATGGAGGAAGAAAAGCATGATGTGAAAGTCTATATTAGGAAAAGCCATGAACCTTCTCTGAAGGCATTTAATTAAGGAAAGCACTGAAAAAGAAAAAGATGAAGGCTGAATATAGAAAAGAAACAAATGCGCACTGATTTGTTAATTGGAAGAACAAACCAATGTATGGTCAATACTTGAAAGTTATAGAAGGAAAAGTTGATAAAAGATATAGAAGGAAAAGTTGACAAAAGTTGATAAAAAATCCCACATGGTTAAGATCAGGAATATTAAAGAAAAAAGAACTGAAGACTATTTTTGTGCTTAGAGCTAATTGCAAGAAGGCAAAAATTTAATATGTAACAAACTACAACAAATGTTGCTTTTGTAATGAAAAGAATGAAACAATTGACTATTTGATCAGTGACTGCAGTTAAATTTCACAAGTTAACTACCAGTAGCAACATGACAGTAGCTACATGACATAGTAACATGACTGAATTATCAGATTGAGTGATTGGGAACTTTGCCATTGGATTTGAATGTAGTAACAAATATTGGGACCATCAAATAGAAAATGCTTTGGAAAATAATCTTGTTAGGATATTATAGGACTTTAAAATCCTAACACTAAGAAATCTTCTTCCTAACCTACCTGATATAGTAGTTATTGAAAAGAAGACAGTCTGGCTCTTGATTCTTGATTCTAGTGATGCTAGGATTACAAAATATCAGGACTTGCAGATTGAAATTGAACCCATGTGGAAAAAGAAATCAATTGTTATACACAGTGCTTTTTTTCTAAAAAAAAAAAAAAAAAAAAGATGCTTAAACTCACACACATCATACAACCTGCCTTGCCTACTCTACAAGGTTCCATCCAAAAAAGGTGTCGGAACTCCGTTCTGGGCGTTCTATGAGAAAAAAAGCCCTGGTTATGCAAATTCTGATTTCAGCCCTTAGAGCAATACCCAAAAGATATATCTCCATACTTGAAACTGCTTAGAGGCTACCTTAATCATTCTTAGGTCCTTGCTTAGAAATTGAACTGTTACATTTCCACCAATTTTAGACTATGAATCTAATTGTAGATTAGCCACAATAAATGCAGCATGCACAAGTACATGCATAAGCAGGTAGGTGTGTGTGTGTGTGTGTGCGTGTTTGTGTGTGTGTGTGTGAAAACTTACCTGTGGGATTTTATAAAGACTCATAAGAACTGGAAACTGGTGTATGATATCTGAGATCAATTCCTCAATAACTGCATATAGATTGTCTTCAATTATGCATTTATAGTTGGGCAAAAGTTTGCTATTTGGAGAAATCAATTGCATTGCTGCATGGTAAGTCCACTTTATGTTCAGGTGACTATCATATATATTGAATCCCACGGTAACATTGGATAACATTTGGGCATTTTCATTGATTTCTTTCACAGCGTATATCAAAGCCAGGATATGCTGATAGTTCTCAGTCACTACACTGTAAAGGAAATGTTCAGCCTTGGATCATACATATCTCATGAAACTTCTAAAGCAAGCAAGCAAGCAACATTTGTTTGTTGATTAAAACTGCATGCATGTTTATATTGCAAAGGGTATTTCAGTTTCCTGAAATACTTCTTTCATCCCATTATGGACCTTCATTATAACAGTACTCATAATCTAAAACATTTTATAGTAATTGCTGAATATGACTATGGCAGCAAGTTTGAAAAAGAATGGGACATATGTGGCATTCCAGGCTATGTAGATAATGGAAATGGGGAAATTATTAGAGCTAGTATAATCTGAAATAACTTTATAACAAAGTGTATTGGAAGTGGGGAATGTGCAAGGTGAAAATAGTTACAGCAAAATTCATACCTCATTTGATAAAGGAGACTTCAAATACTGTTATTCAGACATATTAATGGCATAGAAGAAAGAAGAATTAAAAACAGGAAGGAATTAAAATTTAAAGCAAGTAATAAGCCTAAATGAATATTAAATAATACTTTCAGCCAGAGCTGGCAACCTGAAATTCTCCTGTTGTTATTGGAGAATGGCTTATGCACATAATCAGAGGAGTAGTTGACAAAGAAGGATTTGCTCTACAGTGATTTCTTTTACCATAATGCTGTGCTTCCCTAAGACATTTTGCTATATTAAATCACAGCAATTGCACCAATAAGGTGAAGCATCTTGTCAAGGAGGATCACAGATGAGGTGTTCACTTCCATAATGTAGTGAAAAAAAATCCTTATACAAACATTTTTCCCAAAGGTGACCCTGAAGGATATTGGTTGAATTTATATGGATTCATATAAAATGCAGTTTGATAAATAATGCCTCCATAGATGAAATCTCCTGACTCAAAATACTTGGGAATGTTCAGAGGAAGGTGCTCTGTCTCACATTTAATATATCCAAGCTTGCATCCTACATCGGGTAACAGTAGCAATAGCATTAACAGTATCATTCTGGTTCCTAATGTCTTTGCTGCAGACAATTATCTAATTGTAATTGTTGAACTATTAGTAGAGTGTTCACAATCACAACAGCTAAATTTAGAATGGTTGCCCTCTTTGCTGATAGGATGGGGAAAAAATAAATAAGAAAAAGGTCAAGTTGTGTCTTGTCAACTGGATCTCCTGATGCTGTGGTGTTTAGGGATACATTTATGGCATCCTTAGTAGCTGTTGCTCTTCCTTTTGTTATTGGCCATAGCAATTCCCAAAGAGAATTTCAACACCACAGAAGTAATTGTAGCCCTTCTGCTAATTGCAGAGAACATAAAATGTTCTCAGCTTTGTTGTGAACAACTTTTTGAAAGAAAAGATGTGAACAAGTTGATTAGATTAAACTTTTTTATTTATTTTAATTTAACTAAATGGAAATTTGATTTCTAAATTTCTGCAAAAAACTAATTTTGATAATCTATTCAGGCTTTCATATATTATCTTAAACCAGCATAAGCACAACACATGAGCAGTGTAAATTCAACATATAGATATACTCATTAGCTTCTTACAGAATTCCTGTACTCACAAGCCCTTTTCTTATAAGCATAACTCCTTTCTTCATCATCTGTTTCTGGAAGAACTGCCATAGCTGACCTTTCTATCCAGTTGGAAAATATGATTTTTTATCCTTATTTCAGATCCAGATTAGAGAAAGTCACTTCCTTAGATTGCTTTTCCTTCCCTTTATTTATTTAATTAAATATAACTGACACAATAGGACAGGCCAAGACAGGAACTGGGCATTAAGGCAGTTGATAAATGGGTTCAGTCATTTTCTCTCATGCACAGGAAAAAGACAATGGCAAACTGCTTCAGAAAATTGTTGCCAAGAAAAATCATGGACTTCAGCTAGAAGTCAAGATGGATCCAAAAGCATTTACCTACACGCAGATACAAAGAACAATGAACAAACAGGTATATAGACACTTCTATATAAATGTTTCAATAAAGAATCTTCATATTTTATCATAATTAGTAATACGTAGTTTATGTCTGGAATCAACTCACTCAGAAGTCATAAGTAATATTAGGCTTTCACTTATTGAATAATGGAGGCCCAATATTGATTTTTCCACTATTGGAAAATCAGCAATAGGGTTCAGGGAGAGTGGTGATATGATTTTTTTAATCAATGTTCCCGATTTTCTTTTTTACTATTGATTTGGCCTCCTCCAGGATTAATTGGATCAAATATTCAGGGGAGAGGCCACAACTACAGAATTATGTTATAAAATATACTTCCATTTCTCCTGATTCTTCCAAGTTCCAATTTCATTGGGTGACTCCAGATTTTAATGCTTTGGAAAGATGAAAATAGGCTCTTTTTGTCCACTTTATTCATTCATTGCATATGTTTGGGCACTTCAATCATAACTCCTCTCATTTGCCTTTTTTCTAGACTAAAAGCCTCAAATAGTGTAACCTTTACTTATAATAAAGCTTCTTCAACACTTTAATAACTTTCTTCTCAAACTTCTATCTCTGTTATATTTTTTTGATGTGTACACAATATCCCAAAAGTATTATTGATTTATATAATGGTGTTAAAATATTGGCATTCATATTTTCAAATCAAATCTTTATTATGGTGAGAAACTACATAAGGAGGTTGGGTATAAACAATATTTTTAAAGCAAATAAAAGATTAAAACAAAAATTATGCAAAATAAAAAAATACTATTTCATATTATCTCTGAAATGCTGTTGGCTTTTTCTACAGCAGATGCACACTTCATTGATACTTTTATTGAACAGTTTATCCTCACTCCAATATCCATTCCCTCATCATTCCCTATTAGTTCTGTTCTGATTTGTTTGAGTAGTTTGGATTTTTGACATCAATGAGCATCACTGTACAAATTATCTGGGCAATGGAAAGAAATCAATGAAATTTTTGGTGCATAAAGGTGAAAATATTGGACTTCATTATTAAACTGGTTAACTATAAAATCATATTTTTGAGAGCCAGTTTGGTTAAGATATCAGGACTTCCAGTTTGCCGACACAATTACCATGGACGTCTGGAAGGCGGGGTCCGTCTTCCGTGTCCAGTTTCGCATCACTGGGAGACCCTGAAAAGGGTTGAAAGTTGCCCTGTAGGGGTGACCAGCAAGGAGGGGATCCCTGTTTGATTGTGGGGCAGCCCTCCAAACCAGCGGACGAAAGACTGGCCATAGTAATATGGCTCATCACTAGGCTGTAGACAGCTGAAGTCACACTTACCACCAGGCAATTTTAAAGCAGCGTGGGTGAGATCAACCATTCTTAAATCCTAACTATATTTTCCTGCATAAGCTGCTTAAAGTACTTTCCCCCCTGTGGAGAGAGAAGGGAGATTTTATCCCTCTCTCTAGAAACAGTGGCGACTGACTATCCAGGGAGTTTAAAACGTTGCAAGAATAACCTGATCCTAATTGGAATCTTATTTCTTAAAGATTGTGGACTAAAAGATTTTCTATTCTTACTGAAAATCTGGGTTTTTACTTATAAAAGAAGAAAAAAAACTGAAAAGATTATAAAAACATTGGATTCAAAACAAAACTTTAAATTAAGGGTGACATCTTGTGGCTAAACCTGATATTACAATTTGTTATTGCTTAAAAGAGACTTGGCCAGCAGCCTAGACAATAGATAAGACCTATGTAATCTTCAGGCATTAGCTGTGAAGCCCAGCTGTGTTCCATACTCAATGACATTTTTTTCCTGTATTCTCTGATTGTAAAGCTTTTAATACACTACTAAGAGAATATGGATGAAGATCAGGAACAGATTCTCTTTATGTTGAAAGCAATTCATCAAACTATTCTAACAGGTACTGATGAAATAAGAGATTACAGAAAAGAACAAGATGTCAACCCAGAGATATGAACTCAAACTTTGACTACAATTAAAAAATTAACTACACAGAATATAACAGAAAAAGTGGAACAATTAAATATTATGACAGAAGACTCAACTGATCAACAAATACAGTCAATGGAAAATCCAGAAAAGGGACTAACAATATGGAAAAGGAAAAAGACTTTCTATACAATCAGAAGAAACCTGAGGATCAAGAAGAAGAACATATTGAAGAGAAGATAAACAGTTCAGGACAACCATGTCAAAATGGAAAAATAGAGAGACAATTTGTTAGTCCTCTAAAAAAAATGGCAACCAGATAGTTTTGTCTACATCAAACAATATACATAACAATACAGGAAGAAATATTTGATGATTCAAAAGCACGGACATGGAAGATGATTTGGCAAAGAAAGAAAGCTAGAATAAGACTAAAGAAAATTGGGGTTTTGACTTACTAGTAAGAATTAAAATAGAATATACTTAAATAGATAAGATGTGTATTTTGAATACTAGATATTGTTATGAGCGGAAATAAAGAAAACTTTGGTCATTTAGAACTTGGAAGTAGAAATATTAACAGTTGAATTTGAACATTAATTTCCTTATAAAGGTTAAATGTAAAGGTAATTAAGATATATATAAGCTAAAAAATTATCGAAGAATGTAATAAATATGTTCTTATTTACCGGTAATAAAAAATTACTAGTTTAAATATGAGATAGTAGATATTAAGAGAAGAAGAGAGGAAGTATTAAAAGTTGAAATAAGAGAAACTTTTGTTACTAAATTTAAGATATTTGGAAATTACCAGAAAATAAGAATATTATATTGTATTATTAATTGGTTGATATAAGATGGTGAGAATTCAAATAGATAAGATGTGTATCTTGAACATTAGATTTTGTGATGAATTGGGATAAAAGGAATTGGGATTATTTAAAACTTGGAAATTATAAATGTTAAACGTTAAATTTAAATATTAATGGGAAACTAAAAATTGGGGAAAACTAATCAGGATATTGATGTATGTGGTGGGGCAGGCAACTACACACTCTCACTAATATACTAACATCCAACGGATTCCAAAGAAATAAGATTACCAACCTAATCCAAAAAGAAACCCCCACTAAAATCCAAGACAGAGAACAAGAAAACGGCAAAGCCCTCCTCCCATACATAAAAGGCACCACAGACAGAATCAGCAAGATCCTCCACAAACACAACATCAAGACAGCATTCTGCACAAACCGAAAAATATNCCAAAGACAAAATTGAGTTAGAAAATCAAGGAGTATATGAAATCCCATGCACCGCCTGCCCCACCACATACATCGGACAAACCAACAGAAGAATAAGTGCACGCATTGAAGAACACAAGAACTCAGTCAGAAAAGAGGAACCAACTTCTTCCCTGGTCCAACACCTTAAAGCCACA